CAGTTTGTCTTCCTCGATGAAACTTGGATATTTCAAAATGGGACCATAGGTCGCTCTTGGCAAAATGGAAACCAAAAAAGCGTGAAAGCTATTAAAACAGATGGTAAAAGGTATGTACTTTTACACAATTTGCACTATAAAATTTAAAACTAATATATTTTAGATACATTATATTACATGCTGGAAATGAAAATGGGTTTATTGAGGGTAGTGAAGCGATATTTTCTTCGAAAACAAAATTGAGCGATTACCATGGAGAGATGAACCAGGACAATTTTTTGAAATGGTTTCAACATCAGTTATTAGAAAAATTGGAGAGTCCATCTATGATTATACTGGATAACGCCCCTTATCACAGCATGATATTGAACAAAGTGCCCAACAATGCATGGACAAAAAAAATATCCAAGACTGGTTGACAAATCAAAACATACCATTTTTAAACACAATGTTTAAAACAGAGCTATTGAGTATTGTTGCTCGGTACATAATGCTTCTTAATTATAACGTATATATTTTGGTCGACAGTTTATATTTCTTTTGTTTATTCCTATTCTTAAAATAACTGCTTTTTTAGAAACAAACCACCTAAAATATACGTGATTGATGAATTGGCGGAACAACATGGGCACAAAGTTCTTCGTCTGCCTCCTTACCATTGTATATTTAACCCTATTGAGTTAATTTGGGGCATAGCAAAAGGTTACTATAACAGACATATTGGTAGAGATGGTAACAGTGAAAAAGACTGTTTGGATATGTGGAACGAGGCTCTACAAACGGTTACCCCAGACATGTGGAAAAATAGTGTTCGACATACTGAGCAAGAAATTTTTAAATGGTATGAAAGAGAACGAATTTTTGATCGACCAGACATCGAACCTTTAATAATCAACTTTGAGAGTGATGAAGATTCAGATTCAGACAGCGCTGAAGAAAGAAACTCCGACTAACTTTATTGTACAGAAAAAGCTTACACCAGTAGCTTACCTAATTTTAGAATGCATTTTTCTGTATGAATTCTGTAAAATAAATACCATGCATAAAATTTGGAGGACCCCATTTGGATTTTTATTCAGTACCTTTAAGCTATCAATTAAATATGGTAGTTTCATAGTGTCATCTGATCAATAATTGTCATACTTAATGATTATGCAAGTACAGATCTATAATTTTATTATACTATTATTTTTGTTCTCATTTGAGGTTAATATTGCTTATAAACCTAGATATGTAAATAATAAATTTTATTATTTTACAAAAAGTTTGGCAACAATGTAAATTTTTCAACACACCCACCTTGATGACGTGCACGCCACTTTGTTTGGCGTTGACTATACGTCTGACAAAATTTGAGTATGGGTTTTGAAGCTCGTAGATGGTAGCCTTAAATATTTTAAACCTTCTTTTGAAGCTTTAGTAGACACTAACTAACTAAATCCCAAACCGTTTGGTTTTTGGTTATTTTTTGTTACATTTTTGGAAATTATATTCGAAGTATTGCGAAGTCATTTTTCACATCACATCAATGTTTCATCGTGGATGCGGGCCAATCTGGCAATAATACCACTGAGTTCATATGGAGAAGTGCAATGAAAATATGCATTTTATTTTTTGTGCGAAAACAGTGCTTTCACCGCATCAATTTTTGTTTTGAATTACATAATAGATAGTCCTATATCAATAATCTATTGCGAGGGCAAAATACCTGTAACATTCAGTTGTCAACAGAACACATTTATGCCTAAAATTTTCGCAGCTTACTAAGCAGATTGCTTTGAGACAAGGGGCCCTGATTAGACTTAGGCTTGATACTCGGCAAGGTAAGTATCTAAGATGTAATATATACAGGGTATTTCAGAGAGACGTGCCAATATTTTTTGGGTAGAAAGTACATTCAAAAATAAAAAAAAGTTCCCATAAATATGTGTCTAAACCTGCCTCCCTACCGAGATACAAGATGCCGAAGTTTTATTTACGAAATTGAATAAAAAATATATATATGGATCAAGCTACCGAGTTAAGATTTTGCACGTTCAGTGTGCACATCATAAGCAATAAACACACATAGTTTACCAGCCCAAAATAAACCAGCAACGTAGAAACTGGGGTAGCTGGACCGCTGGTAGGAAATATTTTCTATGCCACTAGCCCTTTCGGGGAAAAGAAGTGCACTTTACAAAATATCATTTGAATTTTTGGTTTGAATATTTGAGGTGAAGTCCTAAAATATTCTAATGAAAAAGGTTCTCCTCTCCTATTCTGAAAATACCATAAATCTTGATATTGGAAACACTAGGCATGTGAAGTAAGCTATGGCACCTCATTACAACATTAATTGAATTATCTTCATTCAGTAGCGTAGAATCGTTAGATTCTTCAGCATTTCAGATTAAGAGAGATCAACAAAAAAGATATCATGAATCGTTGGTAATCTCGGACACGAAGTATGAGGACGAAGTATACAGATATACAGAAGGCTTTCAACACTGTTCGTACTATGCCAGGTATTTCCCAAAGAGTCAGAGAGCCTTTGTGGCGTAGAGCACGTGTTGAATCCACTTGTGGTCACGTTCAATATCTCCTTTAGGTTGTATGTAACAGCATTTATTCAACATTATTTCTTATTCCCCATGTTATGTTCTCATAAATTTAGAAATAATCACGTAAGTTACTACACAGTCGCGCAAGTTCGCAAACATTCCAGGCCGCGCCTCGCACTGTGATCAAAATTAAATTGTAAATTCAGACAAGCCAAAATTATTTCAGTATACAAAACCGATCAAAATTATTTTTTGGAGCTATAAATAATTCGAGTAGTCAAAGCAATAATGCTTAAGCTATTTCAAATAATTCACTTCTTTTGTTTGCTCTATTTCTTCCTTCCTTTCTTTCCTACTTTCCCTTTTCTCCTTAAACATGTTTGGTATCTGGGTAGCCAGATCTGACAGACTAACAGACCGACGAGACTTTTAACTAAGAGCAAAGGTCCACCGGACCGCTCTGACGAATAATGACAAATAGAAATCACGTAAGTTGTATCAAATGTAATGTTTATTGTTGTCGTGTTCAATTCTTATTAGCTTCATTTATTTATTTTTGAAATAAGCGTGTTCTATGTTTTGAAGTTTCTTTATCTATTAACAAAAATGAATATGCCGGCAAAATCAGTGGCGTGCATTGACAAGGCTTAATGAATGGTAAGCTTCTACGCTACTTTTTTAAGGATACGACACGCATATTATTAAATTTATTGTAATGAGGTACCATAGCTTTATTCACATGCTATATACTGTTTCCAATATCAAGCTTCACGGTGTCTTCAGATTAGGGGAAGCTAAACCTTTTCATACGAATATTTTAGGATTTAACCTTAAATGTTCAAACCTAAATATCTCCAAAACGAGTGATCTTACAAAAATTCCTCGAGAGACAACAGCTATGGAAAATAGAATGGTATCGTATAAAATGTACTTCTTTTCTCCGAAAAGGCCAGTGGCATAGACAATATTTCTTACTAGGGCTTACTGAACGTTTAAAATCTCATCTTAGTATCTTTTCCGGCTCCGTAGATATAATATAATAATCTTGGTAGGGGAGCATCTTTGGACCCATATTTATAGGAACTTCTTTGTTATTTTTGGATGTACTTTCCACCCTATTTTTTATTATTATCACGTCTTCCTGACACTCTCTATACAAAGTGAACCTAATAAAGAGTGAACTTATCAAATCTATTTACCATCAGTTGTTCTCCCAAAGTTGCAGAGTTTTGCAGAAACCTCAAAGTACGTAGTAAATAGTGTGGAAACGCAAAGGGTAAGTAGGATTAGCTAGGCTATTGCGAAATGTATGTACATGTACAATATATACTTGAACTAATAATAATAATATTCAATGACCTATTCTAACGTATAGGCCTCAAGGTGTTTCTAAAAGTACTATTTCCATACATATAAAGGAAAGCGACATGTGCCTAGAGAGTAAATAGTGCTAGCTGGTTCGTTGTGAACTTTTTTAGTAGAATACGTACAAAGGGCTAATCTGGTATTTGTGATTTTGGTTTGACCTGTTGGAGATCTCTCGAAGGTGATATCCAGTTACTGTCGTTGTCCAGCAAGTTAATTGGGAAAGCACTTAGACTTTTTGGGTACTAAGCCGCAATTGCGATCTAAACCAAAAATAGCAAATTTTTCTACCTGCTGCAAACCTTTGGCGGCTGACAATTCCATGTCAGCTATGATTTTCACATTTTAAAAGTGACACTGCCGTTGCATTTGTGATGAAGCGTCCTTGCCAGTCAGGTTATGGACAGATAAACAACAATCACTGGTTTTGTTTCAGGGGTGCTAATTAATAAAACAACACAAGTAATTTAGATGCAACAGGGTAAGTATCTATTACCTATATATGCTTTTTTCAGGGAACCTAGTTTAATGCCGCTGACCAAAGTGAAAGGATTACCATAAGAAACCAGAAGATTGAGCACGCTGTACAATATAGATAATTTGGACAATAAACCTAAAAATGATATACTGTTTGTGTTTTTCGACAACAATATCTTATAGCCTAAGTGGCTACATAGTAACAGATACACAGAACATTTATAAAATTCCAGTTTGCAAAAGAATTGTTAACAGTGTCTTCAATATTTCCATTTATCCATATCACAGATGTTTGTTGGGCTGGTTGCCTGCATTAGATTTTCAAAAACAAAATGATGAAGTCACATTTTACAGGGTGTGGGAAACTGGAAACTGCTATAAAATCTTATGTCTATACAAGCGTCACTAGAGGAGCAAATGAATGAATTTAGCACAATAGTGAAAGTATTTCAGCCTATAACAAGAAGGCAATAAGTTTCGTCGTTCCAAAAAATATTTCATATTCGCAGAAGACTGCTGAACGTCTATTCGTTATTTTACACTTTTTACACTATTGCAGAAGGTAACATTTTGAACTTTTTCTGTGATCATTGATATAGGGTTTTTTTGTTACAGGCTTGTGCTCCAAGGTACATTTGGTTTACCAAGGATCTCAATAGGCGAGACCCTGTTGGAACTTGTTTCGTCTCAAATGGAGCCTTCAACAGCTTTGAGGAGTACTCACCTTGCCGGACAAGTAAGGAAATTTATATTTAGATTTTCTAGTTAGGTAGCGACAATTTTCTGTTTCTACATTATCCGAAGAAATTCGAGTGGGGAAGATCTTTTGTTCTAACTTGCCTAGTATAAACTGACTGTCAGTCATTATTATGAAAAACCGTCGATTATTTTGCAGATAGCGAGTAAAATCATTTTCAAGCTTCATACATTCGCCCAAATTGTCCAGATTATTGCAATATTCTTTGCCTATACTTAATCAGCTCCGCTAAATATCGATAAAGCCTACAAGTCCACTATTGTTTGGCGATACACACTATAGGTTAGCCCAAAAAATCAAATCGCCCAAAAATGTATAATCAAAATGCTTAGCAGATACGGCCAGCAAGGAACATGACATCGATTAATAGCCTGTAATGACAACAGTTACAGCCTACCGTAAAATGCAAATGTTAAATTCTTTATTGAACGTTCTTGAAGGACGCGTTATTGTTTGTTTAGAAGCTCATATGAGATCATTTCTCAAATGGCAAGGAACGGAATTATCTGTTATTAGTAGTACTTAATAAATTGAAAGATCATAAAGTTAATCTTAGATTTAGTCCATCATTTCCCACCCCTCTCTTTCGAAATCAAAACCATCTGCGTCGCATAAAATTAACCACCACACGACTGGCGTCACTCTATGATTTACTAACTCTATTTAGCTCAGCAGTCATGCTGTCTTTCGCCGGTGCGTTGCTTAAATATTCCTTAGCCCCTCCTTATTCGGTTATTTAGACTACGCGAGCTCAGTAAATACCAGTTTATATAGAGAGCTCTTGACAGCTTAAATGAGGATACCGTACGACTTCTCATAAATAAAGTTCCTTGCTTTAAACCGACTTGTTCGGCATTTAGTCTCTGTTTTTGGTAGCAGAAAATTTTTTGTATGAGGAGGCATACATTGACTAAACGTCACGTATTTCACGGTTTGTTGCCTCATATTTTACAAAAAGGTTTCACTTTGTGTTTATCAAACGGTAGACTTTTCAGCTTGTATCAATAATAAAATACGTATTGTTTATAGTTGTACCCGGATATTTTCTTAACAAGTTTCCTACTGTTACAAAGATTTTCATTTCAGTGGAATACAAACATTTTTTTATATTGTACATGAAGTGAGCAGTTCTGTAAATAAAATATTCCAAACACCATTTTTAATTATTTGACAAGATAACTAGTTTAAGTAACTTTAGTTACCGTTCAACAATATTTCTGGTCTTAAGTTCAGGACAAAAGCTTAATTTTCGAATGCACAAATAGGTAGCTAGATAACAAAAAAAAAATATAAATATCAAATATACAAGTGTTTATGGACCTGATTTAAAAGTTTGGGAAAGGTTAGCAATAAGCGACAATACCTTTTTGGTTCCTTTAGGATCTTTTTAGGGCGTCAGAGTTACAATTTTTAGTGGAATCATAGTGACCTTCGTAAAGCAAAAAGTCGCAGGATGTTCATTCTGTTATGGTATAATCAGATGTCGCTGCGGAATCTCGTTTTATCTCGGATAATTTTTTGGACGGGGAAATACCTATAGCATTATGTTGACTATCTTCATGTAAAATACGTTAATCAATATCAAGACTGAACATCAATAATACAAATTACTTGTATTTTAATTTTACGTGATACATGAGAAAAACGGGTACAAGTACAAAGCATGGGTACTATCGATAACTTAATGCGAAGAAATCTTTTATTTTATTATATCCTTTTGTATCTCAGTTACTGAAGACCATGTTTACATGCTACTAATCACAGTTTGACTCAATTACCCATTGTCTTAAACCAGGACAAGTATCGACTTCCTATGCATAAATTGGCATGAAATCTATTTAGATGTTAAGGTGGATAGTCCAACCCACTGCTGCCATCGCTATTAGATCCCACTGAGTCCAGGAGACTGAAAAGGAAATTGCCACTAGACTTGCAAGACTGAGGTGACATCGTTGGATGTCTGCTTCATCCCGTCATGAGGTACAACTACTTAAAAATTGTACCATCCAGCAAATTAGCTTATAGAATGTACATACACTCTGATCGCTAATAAAGTAGAGAAAAAAAAAAAAAAAAAAAGGTGGATAGTATGGTTGACCTTTGGCATTTCTGATTTATAATACTCAATATTTTTAGTTTTATAGCACATGTTATTTGATTTTGTTCAGATCAAGTTGTTAGGAGACTAGGTATAAACAATTCGCAGGGGCTGATTTTATGCTAATAGGCAATTTGTTGTAAAACGAAATACAGTTGAAGATGGGTGCAGCTTCGAATTTGGCTGTTCTGTGCACTGGTGTTCGTAATAAATTGCAATGTACATGGTAGAGTCCTTACACGATCTCAGATAAATTAATGTGGATTTACAAGACTCTCTAGGGGTAAGATCAAACAGTAGTCGGATAATTCGCTTCTGAGAGATGAACACTCGGATACATGCACTGCCTTTGCCCCAGCTCAAAATATTGAGCGACATATGTGAGTAGGTATAATACAGTTTTGAGACCATCTCTATCAAGGCAGTTCTTTAGCTGATCTACGGTGTAAAAGGCGGTGTTCAACTTTTTACAGACACTGTCGATCTATGTGTTCCAGTTTAGATAGATTTCACCTGATTATCTGGGTTAATATTTGCTGAAAGACCTGGATATGGAGATTAAGAGTTACGCAGTATCGTATTGACATTGTCTTCGAGTTATTAAAAATTAATCGGTTTTGCTTATATAGAGGGCAAGACATTTCAAAGCACCATATTGATGAATCTGTGAAGTATTCATTGACAGGTAGTAAGTATGGTGGTTTGAAATTGGTTTTATTAAGGTGGAGTAGAAGCTCATTCATATTTTCTTCACTTAAATGTCTCTTTAAACGAGTTTGAAGTGGATCTTCTATGTTATCTACCGGCGAAAATATTTTAAGAATACGTGCCAAATGGTCCGCAATTTTAGGATCAATTATTACACTACCACAATTATTTTGTGGCAAATTAATGACTAGGTAGTCAAAAGAGAATCGGCTTGTGTAACCAGTTCGGTTAGTATATTCTCTGGAGGGCTCACGAATATGTAAATTAAGATTAAAAGACTCTAAGATATCTAATAGTATCTTAGTGAACAAATTGTCTTTCTTCAAATAATCAATATTTAGGTCTCCTGCTAAAATAATTTGTTTAACATTCTTCGATGCAACTGACAGAGCCTTGCTCACTGTCAAGGAATAAGTTCGGGTTGCCAGATGGGGGCCTATAAATAGAAATTACATCAGTATGAATGTTGTTAATCTTGCAAGATATTCCAGTCATTTCAATGTGCGATTCGATAGACGAATCTTGTATACTTATCAATTGCCAAACTTTGACACTGTCCTTTACCATTATTAGCGAGCCACTACGAATGCTAGACTTTCTGGAGAAAACAGATGTTATTTTATAACCTGGAAAATCTATATTACTAGAGTCACTGCATAGCCAATGCTCAGATGCGCAAAAAATGTCAATTGAGTTTAATTCCAGAAACACCTCAATTTTATTGTACTTGCTAATCATAAGTTGTGCTGCTTATGGTAACTGTGCAATATTTGTTGAGTTGTTCTGTCCGGAAGGCAGTGGAGCGATGTGTACAATTGCCTTGAAAACTGTTCTTGTATGAATATAATATAAATAATAAATAGTACGAGGTCTTGAGTTATAGAGAATGAAGATTAGTTTTTAGATAACCCAAAAAGTCATTTTTTAAATGGAAATAACTTTTTCATAATTTCGTCGTAATACTTGAGTAAGTAAGTAAGGTGAATTTAGCAAATTAATAGTTTTCGAGATGTCTGGAAATATTGGTTTTCCTGTTGCTTAAAAGCTCCATAAAGTTCTTACTACAAGATAATCTCAGTTGGTCATGGCGGAAATCGGGTGAACTACTAATACCCGTTTTTCAGTCAGCAAGATTGAAAAGAAATCTTACAAAGCGCATGCGAACTAACGAAACAGTTGATATTTTGCCATTTTCTTGCGACTGTCGAGTCTTGCAGGAAAATCAATCAGTTTGATTTTCTGTTCAAGATTGCTTGCAGTTGATTAATTTCCAAGTCCCGTCAGTTACAAGAAAATGACAAAAAGAGTCAGCTGTTTTGTTAGTGCACATGCGTCTGATCAAGCTCTCTCTTGCATTTGGTGACTGTAAAACGGGTATAAGGATATCACGTTGTCACTGCGGGATGGCCAATTGAGATTATCTTATGGAAGAAGCCGTTTAGCAAGAGAAGAACCAATATTTCTATATATCTCATGAGCTATTAATAATTTATGAAGTAGACAACCTCATGCAAGATTATCTTTACTTTCTATGCTTAAAAGGATGCAATTATAAAAAAGGTTTCCAGTTTGAATATCGGCTCTTTGGGTTTCTTAGAATCTAACTTTTTTGACAATCAGTCGGAAAAAAAATCGAATGTGCGGTATTTTGTTTTTTGGATGCTATATGATATGTACACCACGAAAAAGCTCTGTAGTATTTGGAAATCGGTATCGAAACTGCGGAGAAAAATGACAAAAATGAAAAGAAGTCGTTCAAACTTTGTTTTTTGATGTTTTAGAGGATTCTGGTCATTTTTGAAAAAAATTGTATTCGTTGAAATTTAATTTTTTGGCGACAGTGTATTTCTACGCTTCCAGCTCCAGTAATTTTACAGAGACGACAATTTTTGAATTGTCCAATGTTAGTAGAACTGCAAAAAGCCTTACACAGTGTCGACACCTCAGAAACACGGTCTTTTCTGCATCCACGAACTTCGACACGATTAAGATGGGAGGCGTCATGGAAGAAAGCTCTGATGAGGATATCCCGTTGATATAGCGGTCAAAGAGTGCCAGATTTCCAACGGGCGGTCGCATCGGTGCAAAAGGGTCCCGAGACTGCCCATTAGAGAATTAATATCGGTCAGTCGGACAGCCCTCCTCTAAACAGCATCGATCATAGGTAACATAG